AGAGAGAGAGAGAGAGAGAGAGAGAGAGAGAGAGAGAGAGAGAGAGAAGTGTGGGTTCTTAACATTTGTGTAAGTTGTCTTAGTTGATGCTGGAAGCAACATTCCACAATGACTGTGCTACCTTACACTTCTGATAATAGCACTTGATGGCATTTCTTTCTTTTATCTTCAACAGTATTTTCTTTAGTTTTAAATTCTGCCATCTGACAAGCTGTGGTTATTGCATGATCATTTCAATATTTGTGATAAAATACACCTAAAAGTTATCGGCTTAAAATAATTTAAATATTTATATTTATATCTAAGCATTTAAATATCCTTTAAACCTAAAATCCCAACTACCCAGTGGGAGCTTTTATAGGCTGTGTTTATCTAAGTGCAAAGTACACATTATCACAGGAAGGCAGATAGAGAAGAGGTGGATAGATGACCAAGTAGCCAGACATTAACTGCATATAGGCTTGTGTGCGCACAAGCCCGTGTACATTTCTAATTACGGAGGATAATAACCTTTAAAGGATACAGCTTTAGAAAAATCTCAGTTGCCCATGTGTGAGGTCAGTGATGATGTGAAAAAACTGTTCTCCCTTAGCTAAAGGAAACATCAGAAAAGGCCTTTGCAAAATGGTTCCAGCACTGCAAATTATGTCTTTTAAAAAAATTTTGTTAAAATAATTTCTAAAATTGGTCTTGCACTTTCAGATTATGGGAATCCTTATTCTGAAGACTCTGCGGTCTTTGTCCTTGTGACAGGCTCTCAGGGAAGCCTATTCTTTCTCTTAAAAGCTACTGATACTGCTGGGCGGTGGTGGCACACGCCTTTAATCCCGGCACTCGGGAGGCAGAGGCAGGTGGCTCTGAGTTCGAGGCCAGCCTGGTCTACAAGAGCTATTTCTAAGACAGGAACCAAAAGCTACGGAGAAACCCTGTCTTGAAAAACGAACAAAAAACAACAAAAAGCTACTGATACCAAGCAAGCCTTGAGGTCTATCTCTCAAGAGAGCTATACTAATGAGACTCACCTGTAGAGAACTGTTACATTTCATTTTAGATGTTATTCTTCAAATCTAAAGAATGAGTTGTCTCAGTTCTGTAAGAAAGGAAGTGGACAAGCAGCTTGAAAGTGACAGCCACGTGCAACCCACAGTAGACCGCTCGTCGACGAGCCTGATGCTCATAGACTGGGTACTGATGGGGCCTACTCCCACTTCTCCCCATAATAACTAGAGAAACACCCACCCTGGATCTCCACTTTCCCCAGAAACAGTAAAAAGTGCCCAATTGTCTCCGAAAATCATGGTAAGAATTAAATGGTATTGCATATTCTAAAATGCTCTGTTATTTTATCACTGCATTTTAGGCAAACAACTTTGGAATGTTTTTCTTTGGTTTTCCGATAAGGTGGAAGCTGACAGCTTTTATTATTAAATTCCAGAACTGCATTATTTTGGTGGCTTAAATTTTAAGCTTTCTGATATAAATGCCTGAATATAGATGTGAGGCATAAGGATCTTGCTGGCAACGTGACTGGTTATGTAATTGCTGAAGACCCTATACATTTCAGGAGGATTCTGAAGACAGCTAGAACAGTGGGAATTTGGAACACAAGCCAATCCTGCAGAGTAGAAGAAAGTAGGGTTCATGAGCTGTCTCTGCATCCTAAACACCTGATTACTCTCTCTGGGACTGTAAGCTTTAGGCAAAACTTTCTTACCTTGAATTTCTTAAGTAGCTAACCCAAAATTCACCTTCTTATTCATAAAGCAAACTATATTTGAATAAGGATTAAGTCTTTCATAGCTCTCCACTCCTTAACATTATATTGCTTTTGTTATGCAATAACTAAAGCTACAGCAAGCAAAAACTCAGCCATTTCCTCCCTAAAATGTCTCCTTAGCTTGGCATTCTGTGGCACAGAACTTCCAGAGCCTTCTCACTGGTGATAATACGGCTACTTAAGCAGCCTTTGGAGGTCATCAGAGCACAGCATCAATTCTCCATTCTCACAGTGTCTCCTACACACCCCCAAAGCTGGGACCTGTTCTTGTTCATTTCCTCCTCAGTCCTGTGTGAAGTATATTTTCTCCACCTACTTCGGTTTGATCCAGTCCATAATAAAGATCTGTCTTCATTAAAGACTTCTTAAACAATGTGAAACCAGTGTCACTAATCAAGACTTTAATGTTGTTTTGTTTGCAACTCTCATTTTTATCTTTTGCTATATTTTCTAGTGAAAGTATCTATTTTTGACATATAAACTACAAGTACCTACTAAAAAGCACCTACTATCTGGAAATAGGGGGGAAACCTTCAGAAACAATATATGAAAACTCAGGAAATAACTAACAAAATACCGATGAGCCCAAGTGCTTTTTATTGCCATCCAAACAGACCCTCAAAATATCATTGTGTCATTGGGCCAGCATGGATAGAAATTCATTTCCGCAGTCTCTGTAAGACAGTGCCAATGCTGTGTTTTGTACAGTTAAGACTTTGCTTTCATAAAAAGTTCAGTACCAGAACAGAAAGACCAATAGGGGTTACAGATATGATTTACAGTGCCCAGATGTAGTGTGGGGCTGCAGGCAGGCCTGCTTTTCATCCTGCCCAGCTCCCGCACGGCTAGCTTAGCCCCAGAAATAACAACACACAAATTGTATTCATTTAAGCACTGCCTGGCCCATTATCTCTAGAGAGTTAGTTACTGGCTAACTCTCACATCTTGATTAACCCATTTCTAACCATCTGTGTAGCATCACGAGGTCGTGGCTTACCGGGAGAGATTTAGCATGTCTGACCCGGTGGCTGGCTCCATGGCATCTGCCCCATTGCCCTCTTCCCAGCATTCTGTTTTGTTTACTCCACCTACCTAATTTTCTGTCCTATCAAGGGGCCAAGGCAGTCTCTTTATTGACCAATGAAAATAACACAATAGACAGATAACCCTCCTCCATCATTTCCCCTTTTTCTGGTTAAACAAAAAAGAAAGGCTTTCATTTTAACATAGTAAAATTACATATAACAAAACAGTTATCAAGCAAGAATTACAGTCACAATATTTATAACTATATCTTTATCATAATAATGGAAAACTATAACTATGACTATCCATTCTTCAAATCCATCAAAGACTCTAGAAGGATAAAATATTACTTAAGTAAACAAGAAGTAAGCAACTTCCAAAACTCTAGAAATGACAGAGACATCTTGCTGCCTGGACAGTCACCCAAAGTTCCTCTGTACTGTTAGGGCACCCATCTTCGGCCTTCAGGCTCATAGTATCCAGCAGACATTTCCATGAAGCAGGAAATTTCAAAGGCAGTTCAGTCACTATCTGCTGTGTCCTGCAGAATGTCTCGCAGACTCTTTCATGAATCAGGAACCCCGAAAGATCATCTCACCTTTAGGCAAGTTTAGCAGTCCTCTCTCTGCGGGTTCTCTGTGTCCAGTTTATACAACAGTCCAGGCAAGAGCAGTTTCTTGCCCAAAATGGCTAACCAACTCCATAAGGAGCCTCTTCGATGCCCATCTTCCTCTTGAAGTAGATTGGTGCTGCCAGGAGCAGATGTGTCTCATTGTCCTAAGTTATTAAAACATTAAATGCCATGTTCTGTAGTCTTTGAAAGATATGAAGAATGCATATCTGAAATATATCTATGCACATCTAGAAAATCAAACTAACATTACTACAAGCTTGGCTATTATCAATGATTATCCATTAACAACCTATATTTTTAATTATACATTACATTTTTAAATTAACTACACAATCACAATACCTCAATCAAGATCAGAAATATATATACATATAACAAAATTAACCTTAAAATCCATACCAATGAAATTATTCATATCTATATCATATCCCCCTTTAAATGTAAAAGAACATTTAAAAACAATATTCACCCAGATTTGCGTGGCTTCTTGGGATATGAATTCAGGTTCCCATGCTTGCATAGCAAGCACTTTATCAACTGAGTCACCTCGACAGAACTACCATTCTTAAAAATACTATTTCATTTTTGATTTTTAGCTACTATGTATTAGAGAATAATCACTCACTTTCATAGAAACTTCACTAAACAACAAACAATTCAAACAAGATTGGAGAAGAGTCCTCCACCTTTTTTCTTGCTAAGAATGGTAGCAATGAGAGATTACTCCTCACCCTCACATGCTCCACAGCTAGCTGGTTTCCAACCAGTGACACTGTTTTGGCACGGCTGGAAACTAAGTAGTGCCTATTTGGAGACAGTAGATAACTGGAAAGAGTGGCATTGAAGGTTATATCTGGTCCCCAATTCCCTTGAAGCTCCTCCACATCTGAAATGCTCCTGCTTCCACCATGCTCTCTACTGAAGGCATGGAGCAAACATCTATGGACGAAGTCTTTAAACCAGGAGATTCATTCTTGAAGCTGTTATTTCTAGTATTAGATCCCAGTAAGACAAAGAAAGGGATACGAGTGAGAAATCCTGTGGACTAACAAAGGCCTGTGGGACAGACCAGGTTCTTTGCTTCCATATTTGATAGCTTCATATTAATTGTATTTTTCTTTCTTACTTACTTTTAGCTTCCTTCAGTCAGTCCTCTACTCTGCAAAGAACAATCTGCCTCCATTTTCACATAGGATCATGGTCATCTTGGTACTGTATACGTTGCACACACCTTCACTGTCTCTTTCCCTGTTTTCATTTGCAACATACAGAGTCTCACAATAAAGTTCCATGAGAAAATAATAACTGCCTAATATGTGGCATCCTCTAAAGACAATATCATTATCTAGGATGTCATATAAAATGTATTTGGAGAAATTTCCCCCTCGTCTCACAACTGTGAAAAGTAAACTAAGTTTCAGAGTATGGACTCTGAGCTACAGACAATGTACACATAAGTGAATGCCCGTCTCCTGGACTCCCCTAAGTTTCTTTTTATCAGCTATAAAATCCCTCTACCTTATGTAATTTAGCAAACTCATCATCTCCAAAAACAGCTTTCCTAATGGTACAGACTTTCCTAGGCCTGATCCCCCTGGGGCTCTTTGCTTCCTCTGTTGCCTTCTATGCATCATAATAAATCTATCCTTACATTCCAGAACACCACTCTCCTGCTTCTACCACTCATTCTTCAGAACTCCACTGGATAGCTGCAGACAATACAATGAATCTAGATGGCCATCTGGTTCAGAGTCTATTGATCACTGTTCAAGTATTACAAGTATGATGCTGCATTTACCAGTTATTTTAGTTCCATTCTTGGTTACTATGGTGAAATATTCTGGCAGAGCAACTTTATGGTGACAGGGTTTATGCTGGCTCACGGTTCAAGCAGCAGTTCACCATGGCAGGGGGGTAAAGGCAACAGCAGTATGAAGCAGATGCTCAGAATGCGTGCAGGGTTGTGAACAAAGAGCAATGAATGGACACATTCAGCTTTGTTCTCAGTTTTCTACAGTCCACGATCCGTGCCTACGGAATGATTCTATCCATACTTAAGACACATCTGCCCTTATCAGTTGACGTCATCAAGATAAGCCCTCAGATGCATGCCCAAATGCCCTTCTTCCAGGTGACTGTAGATACTGTCAAGCTGACAATTGACATGAACAGTCACACTAACCCTGAGAATTAATATTAATTAGCCTTCTTATACTTAGATTTAGTGAAGTGAGTTGGGCCTAAGCTTATATGTGATGTGCCTTCTCAAAGGTTGTAGAAGTTTCTGCATCCTGGGATAGCTCTTTCTCCATTTCTTTCATACTCGAGCATAATTTGAAACCATCTCCTTCTCCATGGTGTCCCATGAAGCCATCTTGATTCCTTCCCACTACAATTAGCTTGATATTGTTGTTAATATGTAGCTGTGGACACCTATTTGTGAATTGACATCAGAAGCCTTCCCTTTGTTGAGGCACACCAATCATAATTCAGGGGACAATATACATAACAAATAAAATTTAGTCTTTGTGAGCGATGCTACATTGACTACAAGAGAGCAAGTATCTCTTCCAGATCACAATTTTGAGTTTCTACTTAAACACCCAAGTTTGCGATTACTGTTGAGGCTAGTGGTTTGTGTTTTTGAGGAACCTTTACCATGGTTTTGATAATGGGTGCACCATTCACATTCATGTGTTGTAAAAGTAAATCTTCCTACATCCTCAATAATGCTGTCTGTAGTTTTGATATTTTTCTAAATAGGTGTGAGGTGATAACTTATTGTCAATATGACTAATGTCTCCCTGGTTATCAGTGATGTTGAACCAAAGGTCTGCTGACCAGGTGTATGTCTGAAGGAGACATGTATTTAATTCTGTTGCCTATATTTTAATCAGGTTATACCTTTACCTTTCTTTTTATTCCTCTTGAACTGTATGTTACTTAGATGCCTTAGAAATGAGCCATTCAGCAGACATATGATTTACAGATGTGTTCTCTCATACTACTGATTGACTTTTACCTTGACTGTTTGCTTGGATGAGTGGAGCTTTTTAGCTTCATGCAGTCCTACTTCATTTTTCCCGTGTCTGGATTTCTGGCAACCTATTCAAGTCATTATAGAGACTAAAGGACTTATTCCTGTATTTTTTGGATGATTTTTAGCATTTCAGGTGTGGTGTTCATATCTTTATTTCTATCTCCTGAATTCTTACCTGATATAAAACAGAGGTCCAGGTTCATTTTTTCATATACAGATGTACAGCTTGCCTTTCAGCACTCCTTAAAGACGCAATACTTACCCATTTGTGTTCTTAGCATTGCTGCTGAGGCCCATGTGACAATGTATTATCTATAGCAGTAGAAAAATCAATGTTCTATCACCTAAAATACCACAACTTAAGGACACAATCCCCTCGATTTTTACAAAAGGGGGTGGGTTCTACTAATTGAAAATCTGAGATCTGAAAAGTGTTAGAGATAAAAGTTTCTGTTTTATTAAAAGCTAGCAAATTTTATAATTGGAAATAATAATAAGCCTCTCATCTTTAGGTCTTGTTTCCTCCATCCTCGCTAGATTTATTCCTCTTATCCCTTCGTAACCATGATATGTTCATTGTCCTGCTTCAGGTCAGAAAGAGATGCTGCTGTTGCTGTCACCTAGCCATAGTCTTGGTGGACACAAGTTTAAGCCCGAGTTCCAGGGAAGGCGGGGGAGGAAGCATGGTTATCCCTTGAGCTTACACTGCACTCACAAGACATGTGTGTTGTTTAAAGTAGTCTTGCATTGTACAGCTAATTAAAATATTGGATGTGTTCAATTCAAACAAATTTACATGATTTCCTACACCCAAAGTTGAAATCTAATTTTAAAACTTGGATGACTTCATAAAACAATTACCTCAGACTTATTGCTGTTTTCATTTCATTACCTAAATAGTGATACAGTGATTTAGAAAGTTTTGATAGCTTTGGTGTTCCATGAAGCAAAGCCTGTGGTCTTCTCCTTGCTCTAATTCCTAGTCTAGATAGGATTTCCCAAACATCTAAAAAGATTATCCCATTTTTTTGCCATTCTGAAATGCAATTTCTAGATTTTTTAAATTTTCTGCCAAAATTGTTTCTTATAGGAAAAAATGTTTTTTTTTTTTAATTAAAGGTGTTCCCCTCTGTTCAGCCATCAGTATTATGCACACTACCCCTTGAATTTAGACATATGCTCACCTGGCATCCATTTTCCCCATAAGAAACTGACTCCATTGGGATTGGGAAAGTAATTTACAGGTAGAGTACATGTATGGGCAGCGCTTCTGTTAGCAAATGTTAGCCACGTGTTCCTACAAGTGATAGAAAATCCCACCAGAAGCTCTCTCTGTGGGCATTGACAGCTTTCACTTCATCTCCCTGGGATTCCTCTCTTTCTAAAGTTTCCATATGTGTTACATGCTATTCCATTTAAGTTGTCAGTTATGCGACTTTGGTTGATTTGGGAGTGGGTTGGGGCTTAAAAGAAGTCAATTCTCATAAATAGAAAGTAAAACTTAATATATACATAAAGAGAAAGCTTTTTGCAATTTGATTAATTTTATTTAAGTCAGTTTTAAAGCTCATATTAAAACAAGTTGAATGTGAAACATGATTGGTACGACATATCATAGAAGTTATACTAATTACTTTGTAATTGTGCATAAGTGAAATACAAACCACTTTGATCACAGCCAAGGGTTACAGATAACAGGAACTAAGAACGGTGTGAAGGACTGCATGTTTATTCTCCCTTCTTGAAAGCAAGACTCCCCTATTCACCCTCTCTCTCAACCGGTTTCAATCAGTTTTCCATGCTTTGACCCTCCTGCAGCCTCAGCACAAGCACGCTTCACAGTCACGACTCCCCCCCCCCACCTACCCCAAACTAATGGGAGGACCCCACGCTACAGTAACCATGAGAGCAGAGTAGGTGTTGGCAAGGAAGAGAAATGCCTGGAATTTCCCTCTCTGTGTGGTGGCTGATGAGTTCAGTAGGGTTGTGACCACAGCGGGAATGGCTCCACATCAGGCAGTATGAGCTTCCCCAGGCGGGAGTTTAGTCCATTTGAACTGCTCAAAGTAAACACCAGACCTCAATGGAAGGGCTCTTGCCTGCCACACACAAGTTCCTCAGTTTGATCCTAGCATAGGCAGACACACACACACACACACACACACACACACACACAGAGAGAGAGAGAGAGAGAGAGAGAGAGAGAGAGAGAGAGAGAGAGAGAGAGAATATCTGAGCAGATGAACAGAGGGTGAACTCCTCGCTATTCTGAAGGCCATGAAGCCTAAAACAGGGAACCGGCATTGGAAGTATGCTGAGGCCTGCAGCCTCCAGAGAATACTGTGGACTGATACTGGGGGAAGCCGAAGAGCACGTGAGTCAAATATTACCCAGGAGCCTTTTTCTTCCTCATAAGGGAGAGAACCATCGTGTCACCATCTTAAAGGCCTGATCCAATGAAATCTGTATCAACGGAATATTGGGGAAAAATACTGTTAAAATATTAGAAGGGGTTGAGAAAGAACAAGCAAGATCTCAGGCCGATTCTCAAGGAGGCAGTGGGAAGAGGTACTGTGCTGAATACCGCAGGAGCGGAAAGCACCAGCAGAGACAGCAAGGGCAGTAGTGGATACGGGTGCAATGCCAAGCAGGACCAGGAACCCTTTTCTGAGAGCAGCAAGGATGCGAGGATATCAATAAAGGAAACGTTTTTCTCCACGTGCTGTGAAAGAACAATTTTGAAACAAAACTGATGTGGTATCCAGACTCAGCAGGGGGATTAAGGAAAAAGTAGGGTTAAGCGTACTAAAATCCGGAGTATTGTTTTTAAAGGGGTTTGAGGAAATCTGTCCGGCTAGGATAGACAAAATCGAGGTAGTTACCTGTCAAAAGCTAGCTTAGTCACAGTCAAGATGGTGCTCAGCATAAGCTGGGGCCAGCGTGGGAGCAGTAAACTGAGTTAAAATGTGATGTTTGCTATCTTAATTGTGATGAAAAATTTAAAGCCCGCTGTAATGAAAATGGAGAGACAGGAACTGGGACGGACTGACTGTTTGGCACCTTCCCCTTCCGATGTCGGTGCACAGAGGTGAACTCAAGCACCAGCGACCAACAATGTCCACTCTGCAAGACATGAGTAGGTGCTGTGTAGTAGGCTGCTTGGTCGTCCAGGCCACCCAGAACTGAAATAATCGCACAGAAACTGTATTAATTAAATCACTGCTTGGCCAATTACTTAAGCGCATTGCTAACTAGCTCTTACATCTAGAATTAACCAATCTCCATTATTTTATATTTTACCACAAGGGGCATGGCCTACCAGCAAGGTATCATCATGGCTGTCTCTGGCGGCGTCTCCATGGCTTCTCTTCTGACTTCCCCTCCTTTCTCCCAGCATTCAGTTTAGATTTCCCCACCTAATTAAGTTCCACCTTGCTACAGGCCAAGCCAGTTTATTCATTAACCAATAAAAGTAACACATAGACAGAAGGACCTCCCACGCCAGTGCTGCACAGTGCCTTAAGTTTAAAGAGGAGAAACTGAGATGAG